ACCATACCACACTCCAGCTTCCTCAGAATTCCTTTCAACTGGAGAGCATTCCATTGTCACCACCCTTATTGTTCTCCATGGCAACAGCTAAGTTTAGACAGGAGACACTATCTGCAAATGCTCCCCAAGTCACAGAATCACAGAATTTTAAGCTTGGAAACAACCTCCAAGGCCATCTAGTTTTATACATATCCCCAAATGAATCTCTTGTAAGAGACAGCTAACAAATGATACCCTGCATTTACTTGCAGAGCTTCAGTGAGGGGGAGCCTGCCACCTCCAGAGGCGCCCATTGCACTTGGCAGGAAGGTTTCCTTACATCAAGCTTAAATCTGCCTTTTTGCAGCTCCTACCCACTGCTTCTAGTTCTGCCTCCACGGCCAAAGAGAACAATGTTAGCATATGATGTAATTTCCAGCACTTGAAGAGAACTATCATTTCTTCTCAGTCCTTCTCTTATCCAAATGAAATAATCCCAGTTCCTTCAATGCATTCTCGTATGCATTGCAATGCAATCAATCTCAACCTCTATCTCAAGTTTCTGTTTTCCCTAGACATCTTCCTCAGACTCCCTAAAACAGACTTCATCACCTTCTCCATAAACCCATTCCTTTCCAGAGTGTACCATTTCAGCCTTCATTCTCTTAGCCTTAAAACCCTGCAGAGTAAATGAAGGCAAAGGATGAAGAGCAAGATAGAGAGGAAAAAGGAATATTTTCAGGAGAGTATTATGTATATGACCTCTTCTACCCCTTTGGAAAAAATGAGGACATAGAGGAGGAATTTGAGAAACTGATCTCGCAAATCTGAGTTGGGCATGACAAGTAGTGATGTGGGGCTTCTCATATCTTTGCATCTGTTGAAGTTGCCAAAGCAGAGCAACTAATGAACTCTTGGCTTACTTTTATGGTAATTTATGGTTATAAAAGGTGGAGGAAGTGACAAGGGGAACTACTATTTTGAGCCTTATTCTCACCAACTAGAAGGAACTGGTTGCTAAAGTAGAAATGATGGGAAATTTGAAGACCAAGTGATAAATGCTGAGAACTTGTGAAGGCAGCCCATAGTCTGACATGCATTCTGTGGTTTGGGGAAGCAGATTTCAAAAGGTTCAGAGAAAGGTTAGGTAGGATCCCGTGGCTTAAAATGCAATAGAGGAAGTCAGCTCAGGAGGGATAGGAAACACCCAAGAATGAAAATCTGAGGGCATACACAAACAATGTAAATGACGAAGAAAAGGAGGAGATGTGTAAAGAGACCAATGTAGATACATAGGGAACTCATTGACCAACTTACATTTTAAAAAGGCAAGTACATTTTTCAATGTGTTGATTAGTTTTGATAATTTTTTTTTCTCTTGTCTCCTTTACAAAAATTTCTTTGTTATGTACATTTGGGTCATGGCTCATGTTTCAGCCCATTGCGATGCTGCTTTCATCATCCAGCGCATTCCTCCCAGCTCTGGATTACTTGCAAATTTGATAAGCTTGCCATTTATGCCTTAATCCAAGTCATTAATAAAAACATTAAATAGCCATGGAGAGAGTCCTGTGGTACTCCACTAGAGATTTTCTTTTGGTGTTGACCAATCATTTCAGTGTCTGCCTCTGTGATGGATGGGCTTGTCTTTGTGTGATGTTGTATTCTATTTATGAAGTAGTGGTGACACTAATCTGTATTTCCATATTTTTCCTTCCATTGGGAGAGGGGAAATGAAAGAACAAATGATAAAGGAGGACTAGGACTCTTGTGGTTTGCACTATGTGGGGACAAAGGGGAAAAAAGAAAATGGAAGGAGTGGACAAACTTGTGCCCAGTTGTGATGGAAGTGACAGGAGAAAGGGGGAAAGAAATTAAAGATTGGGAACAGTAGGTCCTGGAACTTTAGGAACAATGCACAAAAAGACTGAGATCAGGTTACTAGGGGGTCTTGGGTTGGAAATTTAAGGATGATTTGGGAAGTACTTTACAAAAAAAATTGAGACTTTCCACTGGAAATTCTTTCTCCCTTACTCCTCACCTGACAACCTTTCTATCTTTTCTCATAACATACTGACATCATCCCTACCTTTTTCTCCTTTACTCCAGTCTCCAGTGAAGAGGTGGCCCTTCTCTTCACCAAGACCAACCCTTCTATATGCATCTTTGATCTGATCCCTTTTCATCTTCTTAAGCATATTTCCTCTCACCAATCTTTAATCTTTTATCTACTGGTTCTTTCCTTGCTGTTTCCAAACACACCCAAGTCTCCCTTATCCTAAAAAAAAAACTCACCAAAAAAACCCCCAAAACTAAAACAGAAAACCTCATTGGATCTGACCATCCCCCACTATCATCCTATATCTATTTTCCCTCTCTCAGTCAAACTCTTTGAAGAAGCCATCTACACTTGATGTCTCTCTTTCTTTTCCTCTAACTCTCTTTTTACTCCTTATAATCTGGCTTCTGATCTTACCACTCAACTGAAACTACTCTCTCCAAAGTTACCAATGATCTCTTAACTATCAAGTGCAACAGCCACTTTTCAATCTTTATCCTTGACTTCTCTACTCCATTTGACACTGTCGACTACCCTCTTCACCCGAGTTTTCATGATACTGCTCTCTTGATTCTGACTGCTCCTTCTTGTTCTCCTTTGCTGACTCATCATCCATGTCATGGCCATTAACCATGGGGGTTTCCCAAAATTCTGTTCTGGGCCCTCTTCTCTTTTATCTCTGTACTCTCTCAGTGACCTCTGTAAGCTCCTATGGGTTCAATTATCATCTCTATGTAGATTACTCCCAAATCTATAGATTCCATCCTTCTCTCTTTTGAGCTCTAGTTCTGCATCACCAACTGCCTGCTGAATATTTCCAATAAAGTCTAAGGGGCATTTCAAACTCGACATGTCTAAAACGGAACTCATTCTATCTCCCTAAACTCCAACCTATCTATCTTTTAAACTGTTGAGGACGTGATTATCTTCCCAGTCACCCAGAATGAAAGTCTTCATATTATCCTTGAATATACCCATAGATCTGTCAACTCTGAAAACAAATGACCAGAGAGTCACAGAAATTGTACAATTGCTGTTAACTCTGAAAATATCAAAGAGTTCACACAGATTTTCACAACCACAGTCAACTCAGAAAAATAAAATAAAATAAAAACAAAGAACGAACAGTAGTCATAAGGAAAAAGCTTTCTTTATTCCATTGGAGGAGGGAAACTAGACACATGTGCTGGGGCCTCCTCTGATACTGAGTTGACCCTATTTAGTGTGGGCAAATCTCAATACATGAACTAGTGGCGATGAAGTGAACTGTGCCTCTGACAATAAAAGGTAACAGCAACAATGAATCGAGTTTGATTCATAGCAGGGCTTCATGACTGGAACATGGTTTCTGCAGGTACTTATCTGAGCTCAGGGACCACCTGGTGCTGGTATGAAACAATTCTGGGACTTTGTTATGGCTGAGTTCATTCAAGTGCAAAGGAATTTTGTTATTCCATGTTCAGGGTATAGCCTGCTTTCTGTGCCTTAGCTCTGGAAAACAGGGTGTCTTGTAAAAGTAAAAAGAGAGGGTGGTCTTGGCATGAGGATCCTGACAGAGCCGATCATTTGCCAGATCTTATTCCTAACTCTGCAACTACTCTCCTACACATCTCTTCCTCTCCATTCATATAGCCACTACCATAATTCAGGCCCTCAGTATCCCTTACCTGGCATTCTATCTGACCTCCTTGTCCTATGCCTCTGCACTTCAATCCATCCTCTATACTACTGACAAAGTGATTTTCCTAAAGTGAAGGTCTGATCATATCACTCCCTACTTAAAACCTTCAAGGGCTCTTTGTTGCCTCTCGGATCAAATATTTGACTATTAAAGCTCTTTAGAACCTGTCCCTTTCCTACCTTTCCAGTCTTCTTACGCTTTACCACCCTCCTGGCACCTTGCATTTCTTTCATACTGGCCTCCTTGGTAATTCCATCCATCTAGTGTGCCATTTTCCTTCTCTGGGCTTTGCATTCACTGTCCATCGTTTCTGGAATTCACTCCCTCCCCACCTCTGCCTTTTGGAATCCCTGGTTTTCTTCAAGATTGTACAAACACCACCTTCTGTAGGAAGTTTCCCTCCAAAGCCGCTAGTGGCCTCTCTCCCTCCCCAAACTGCCTTGTATGTATTTTGTGTATATTTTTATATTCCTATTCTCTCTCTCCCTCATTAGAATATAAGCTCCTTGAAGGCAGGGGCTACTTCACTCTTAGATTTGTAGCCCCATTATTTAGTATATTTCCCAGCATGTAGTTTTGTGTTGATAATGAAAGAGGAATCCCCCTGGAGGTTGAATGCAGTGCTATTGGCTTGGAGGAGATGAAATTCATGAGAAATTCCAGGCTGAAAATGACCTTATTGGTCATCAAATCCAACTCCCTTATTTTTTATAGATGAGAAAATTGAGGTCCAGAGAGGTTGGGCATCTTGCCCAGTACCACACAAGGAGTAAGTGGCAGAGGCAGAATTCAAACCCAGCATTCTTTCCACTGTACCATCAATTTCTGGGAAGCTGATGTGTATCATCAAAGTACAGGGCTCAGGGTTGAATCCTTTACCGTCTCCTCTCCCACAAAGGGGCAGTGCTCTCTCTTTACCCAACTCTGTGCTGGCCACTGGGATTACAAAGAAATCTATATATTTATGTTTTGTGCCTGAATCTGTGATACAGTGAGAAGAGCACCGACTTTGGAGTCAGAGAATGTGGGCTCACATCCTTCATCTGTCACTCACCACCTCTGTGACCTTGGCCAAGTCACTATCCCTCTCTAGGCCTCAGTTTCCTCATACGTAAAGTGAGGGGCTTGGACTAGATGCCTTTTAACATCTCTTCCAGCCCATACTCTAGGATCCTATGGATCTCTAGGCACCATCTCTGCCTCAAAGGGCTTACACACTCCTGCCAAGATTCCTGAAGAATCTTGGATCTAGAAAGGAAGACCCCCAAGTCCAACCCTTGGTTCTTTTACGGAAAGAGGAGGAAGGGAAGTGCCCAGAGTCAGTGCTGGGGCTGGCAGAAGGCCTGGAAAGAGCACGGGAAGCATGAGCCTCAGGTCTTGTGCCTAAATGACAAGAGCCAAGGGGGCTATGAAGACCTGGGCCTTAGGGCTGCAAGAGATTCAAAAGCTCATCATCTAGCATGAATATTGGAAACATGAATAGATCTGTGAACCTGGATTTTAATTCTGGTTCTGCTGTTTACTGGTTGACCTTGGGAAAGTCACTTGTCTTTTGGACCTCAGGTTCCTCAAGTATAAAATAAATGGTTGAAGTATGATTATGGACCCCTCCCAACTAGGAAATGCTAGGATTCCTATCTAACCTCTTCCTTTGATAAGATACAGTATCTCAAAGAGAGAGAGAGATCTCTCTTGCCGGGATGAGTGGGAAAAGAGGAAGTGGTTTGGATCCCAGCCCTGAAGGGATAGATGAACCACCCGGATTTGGAATTTAGAATTGGAAGGGGATGACCTGTTTTGCTGGGAGGCCTTCCTCCTGCCACATCACCTTCAGTCAGGATGTCGGAGTCATTTCTTCCTGAGATTTGGCTCTGCGAGGCAACTACCTGCCTTTGTAACCAGACTGCTCTGTGGGATGCGTAGCACTGTGGGATCCGTAGCGCTGTGGGACCCGTGGATGTGAACTGGGCAGTGTGGAGGGTGAGGTCTAGGAGACAGGGGCGTTGATAGGGGACGATGCTGAGGTGGGTGTCGCGGCCCAGGGTGCGGCCGGGGACGAATGCTTTGTGTCGGAATCGACCAATGGGCTGGCGATGCCCGGTTGCCAGGGCTACCGGAGAGTCAGAGGAGGCGGGGCGAGGGGGGTCGTGGGGGTGTGGGGGTATATAAGGGGAGAAGCTGGAGGGAGGTGGGGTGTGGAATCAGTCTCTGCTGCGGGCGGGCGGGGCGCAGGCCGCAGGGCCGGGCCGGAGCCGCGGGGGGAGCGGACGCGCCGGTATCCGATTCACTCGCTGGGGAGACCTATGGGCAGAAGCCGTGTAAATGCGTTTTAAGGTGAGTTGAAGGGAGGAGGGAGGGGGTGTTCCCGAAAAGGTGAGGAATAGAACGAGCCGTCCCCCTTCGCCTTCCTCTATGCCAGATTTTCCTCTCTTCCCTCCAATCTTGGACAAGTCCCTTACACTCTTTGGGGCCTCGGTTTTTGCCATCTGTAAAATGGGGGAAGTTTGGTCTAGACTGTCACTAATTCCTTTTCTGCTGTAGACCCTTCCCCCTCCTTCTTCCCTCTTCCCTTCACCCTCTTCTGATTAGATGCCCCCTTCCTTTCTTCTCTCCCTCCCTCCTCCCTTTCTTGGGAAGCAGGGGCCTCAGCTCCCCAGCAGCAGCTACTCCTCGGGGTGTTGCACAAGTTCTGAGCTCACCTGCGAGCCCCCCTAGCATCGCACCCGGCTCTGCCCCCCCCAAGGAGGACGGGGCTCGGTAAGTGGGGGGGCCCTTGCCTAGGGGAGGAGGGGAGGAAGGGAGGGTTGCAGCCTGATGACCTACCTGGAAGGGATGAGCCAGACAGTGGGTGTCTTGGAACCTGAGGCCCAGAGAGAAAGAAGGCAGTGTGGGCAGAATGGTAACTAGAGTTCAGGTCACCTGATCTTCTTAATCCCATGTGGGTATTTTTCTGCAACTCATCATCCCTCCTGTACTAACAATATCCGGCACTCCTAGATCAGGGGCCCTGAGGATTTCCCGCTGAAATCCCAGGCCTTTTCCCAGAGACTCGACTTGCCTGCAAGGCAAGGCTTATTCCTACTCTCCCCCAGTCCATCCTGTGCTGATGTGTTCAGGGAACAGGCTGGGGCATAGGGATGCTGCTAGGTGCCCTGGAGGAGCTTACTGCTCCTGGGCCTCCTTGTGGAGCCTTCTTTTCCTGTTTTTCTTTCCAACCTGGCAGTGTGTTGCATACTTTCTACGGCTTTGGGAGCCAGTCCACCTAGCATTCCCTGTGGCTCCCAAGCATGGCTGGCTACTTGAGTGAATCAGACTTTGTGATGGTGGAGGAGGGCTTCACCACTAGAGACCTGCTGGAGGAGCTGACCTTGGGGGGCTCACAGGTAAGGAAAAGAGAAGAATGGGAATAATTGGATGCCCTGCAGGGAGAGGAAGATCCAGAGACTAGATAGGAGGGTCGGTTTGGAGTATGGTGCATTAAGCCCTGGATTTGGAGTCACTTGGGACATAAGTTATCATCACAGCTCTTCCATTCCTGCCTGGATGTCCTTGGGCAAGTCACTAAATCAATCTTAACTTTCCTTATTGATAAAATAAGGGAAGGGGTCAGACTAAACCTCTGAGGCACCTTCTAGCTCTAAATTCATTATAATATCTTGTGATCCTATGTATGGGCAGCTAGGTGGTACAGTGGATAGAGTGCTGGGCCTGGAGTCGGGAAGACTCATGTTACTGAGTTCAAATCTGGCCTCAGACACTGTGATCCTGAGTAAATCACTTAATCCTGTTTGCCTTAGTTTCCTCATCTGTAAAATGAGCTGGAGAAGGAACTGGCAAACCACTCCAGTGTCTTTGCCAAGAAAACCTCAAATGGGGTCTGGGAGAGTCAGACACTAATGAAATGACAAAAAAAAAAAATCCAGCAGCAACAAAACGTAAATCCCTCTCAGGACGTATATAGGCAGAAGATAAATAAGCTGGAGTGGAAGGCAGCAAAAGATCCAGGCTGATGGGCTCTGGAGTTGGAAACGATCTTTAGAGACCTCTAAAACAAATGCATAAAGGCTATTTGCAGGAATGTGAAGGAGAGACCTCCTGTCAGTTACTGGTGATGCTGGACAACTAACTCCGTTTCTCTGGGGTTTCACTTTCTTCACCTGCCAAATAAAGGGGATCAGACTTGATAATCTCTAAAGTTTCCTTCCATCTCTAAATCCCATGCTCTTAAGAAGACCATTCTTCTCATTTTTAGGTGGAGGAAATGAGCCCCAGGGATTGACATGCTCAAGTATTCTAGCCTCGAACAACTGTTAGCCCAGAAAATTCTTGGGGAATAATTAAAATAGATGACCTGGGACCTAGCAGTGATTGCCTTTCCTGCTGGGGCGATGAGATGTTTGGAAATTTCCTGTTTGGATGGGGGAAGGGCAGGGACCCCAGGGCCTCCAAGGCCTCCCTGCTGGTTCACTCCTCCTCTCTGTGTAGGATGGAGGGGCCTCCTTCTTTGTGGCCGACCTGGGAGATGTGGTGAAGAAGCACCTTCGTTTTCTGAAGAACCTGCCCCGGGTCAGACCCTTCTATGTCGTCAAGTGCAACAGCAGCCCTGGGGTGCTGAGGGCCCTGGCAGAGCTGGGGCTGGGGTTCAGTTGCGCTAATAAGGTAATGAGACACCCTCCGCTTCCCTTCTCTAACCTACTTCGGGAGTCCTGTTTCATTTAAAGAACTTGGTGCATACATTGTCAGAGCTGAGAGGTTGAACCTTGGAACATAGGCTATGAAGCTGGAAGAGGCAGGGTGAGGAACCTTGGGGTGAGGAACCCTGGGGTGAGGCACCTTGGGGTGAGGAACCCTGGGGTGAGGAACCTTAGCATTGGGTGGTCACCCCTGTTGTTGTTGAGTCATTTCAGCCACGTCCAAGCCTTTGTGACTTGGCGTTTTCTTGGCAAGATACTGGAGCGGCTTTTGCTGTTTCCTTCTCTAGCTCATTTTCCAGATGAGGAAACTGGGGCAGACGGGGTTAAGTGACTTGCCTGGAGTCCACATAGCTAGGAAGTACCTAAGGCCAGATCTGAACTCAAGTCTTCCTGACTCTGGGTCTTGGTGTTCCGTCCGCTGCACCACTTAGCTCCTGACCTTACAGGATGTTAGCTCTTCGAAGGAAGCTTAAAATCATTCAGTCAGTAAGAATTTAAAGCATCTACTATGTGCCAGGCACTGTGCTAAGTGCTGGGGATACAAAGAAAGGTAAAAGATAGTCAAGAAGGGGCAGCTAGGCAGTGAGGTGAATAGAGTCCTGGGTCTGGAGTCCCGGAGACTCATCTTCCCAAGTTCGAATCCAGCCTTAGACATTTACTATCTGTGTGACCCTGGGTAAGTCACTTAAGCCTTTTTGCCTCAGTTTCCTCATCTGGAAAATGAGCTGAAGAAGGAAAAAGCAAACTATTCCACTCACAAAGAGTTGGGCATAACTGAAACGACTGAATAACACCAACGAAAACCCTGAAGGAGCTCACAATCTAATGGGAGACACAACAAAGAAACACAGAAGGTCCCTGCCCTCAGGGAGCTCATAATCTAATGGAGGAGACAACATGCAAACAATTATGTATAAAAATATACAGGATAAATAAGAAATAATCAACAGAGGGAGGTATTGGAATTAAGAATGGCTTCCTGTAGATGGTGGGATTTTAGCCGGGACTTAAAGGAAGCCAGGGAAGCCAGGAAAAACAAACAAACAAACAAACAAACAAACAAAAAAAACAAACAAACAAACAAAAAAACAAAGAAGTATTCTTGGCATGAGATACAGCCAGTGAAAATGCATGCAGTCTGGGAAGTGGAGCATCCTGTCCTAGGAACAGCAAGGACTGGATTGAAGAGCACATTGGTGGGAGGGGGTCATACTGGAAAGGCAAGCGGAGGCTAGGTTATATGAATGCCAAAGAGAGGATTTTGTAATTTGATCTTGGAGGCAATGGGGAGCCACTGGAGTTTATTTTGAGTAGGGGAATGACATGGTCAGACCTGGGCTTTAGGAAAACCGCTTTGATGATTGAGTGAGGGTATTAGAGTAGGGAGAGACCTGAGACAGGCAGACCCACCAGCAGCTATTGCAATAGTCCAGGCGTGGGGTGATGAGGACCTGAAGTAGATTTTATGTCTTGGCAGTAGCAGAGGAGGGGGGAGGTGTATTCAAGAGAAGTTGCAAAGGTGAAATTGACAGGCCTTGGCAATAGATAATATATTGGAGGGAGGGGGATGAGAGATAACAATGTAGTCCATCTTCCTCCTCCTGCTACATGCAGTTGGAGGAGGCTGAGATCCAGGGAGGAGCAAGTTAGTGATGCCCAAAGTTATCTACAGTGTCAATAGTGACATATGGGACTTGCCCATGTCCAGGCTTTCTACCATCACTCAAATATGTCTTCCAATTATTCAGTCATTTTATTGAGTGTCTGTTGTTGTTCGCTAAGCATTCTGGGCTAAAGGTGCAGTAAGAGAAATCAAGAGGTCTAAGACTGAGTTGAAGTGCTTTTGCTGTTCAGTCATTTCAGTTGTGTCTGACTCTTCGTGACTCCATTTAGGGTTTTCTTGGAAGAGATACTGGAGTGGCTTTTGCTATTTCCCTCTCCAGCTCATTTTACAGATGAGGCAAAAAGAGGTTAAGTGACTTGCCTAGGGTCACATAGCTACTAAGTGTCTGACGCCAGGTTTGAACTCAGGAAGATGAGTCTTTCTGACTCCAGGCCAGGTGCTCTATGTACTATGAAGCCCCCCTGGCTGCCCTTAAATGATATGAAGTGGAAGAAGTAACCCCCCCCAAAAAAAACCCTCAAAAAAACAACAAAAAAGGAAAATCACAGTGCTCAAGTTTTAAAGTTCTGTCATTTCCTAGCTATGATTACCGTTACCTGTTAGATGGGTATTAATATTCTAAATATTAACTTCACAGGACTATTATAAAAAAAGTGCTTGCAAACTTTAAAAAGTAAAATGGGAACTAAAATGTGAAAAAATGTCTGTGTGTGAAACAACCATCATTATAAGAATAAATATTTGGAGAGCCTGGCTGTAAGATTTTAGAGAAGACAGCAGGAGTATAGTGGAGAGACATTTGGAGCCAGGAAAACTATAATGGAGCGCAGTCTATTGCTCACTAGCTGTGTCATAGGGTAAGGTTTCTTCACCTCTTTAGGTCTCAGTCTCCTCATCTGTAAAATAAGGGGGTTGGATTAGATGGCTCCTTAAGGTTCCTTACTGCATTTTGCAAGCTGCAAAGGACTTATAATAATATTTTTATTTTACATTTTATTATATATTATATTTATATAATATACATTTTATTTATAACAGTCATTTTGGGAAATTTCCAGATTGTAATAGACCTCTTTGTACAACATTTTGTTGTTGTTGCTTAATTCTCGCTTGTTTATTTCCTCCTCCCTCTCCTGAGACTGATGGAGGAAAACCCTCCTGGAGATTTTAGGTCCTTGGACTGCCTCAGGGCCCATTTCCTGGGTGGGGTGGTGGTAGAAGGAGAACTGCAGGGCGCTGGCCTTGACCCACTTTGTCTTTGGGTCATGGCTTTATCTTCTTGGGGTTTGGGGAAGGGTGGGGGAAAATGAGGGCTAGGGCAGGAAGTTCCATGCTAATAGGTAGATTGACCTTTTTTTCTACTCTCTTTACAGAAATGTCCCCATCTAATAAGCCTCCACTTTCTAGTCACTTCTAGGTAGAAGTGATGCTATGAGCTCAATTACAGGAAATTCTGTGACATCACCCAGTTTAGAAGCTCATTCTCGGGGACTCCTGGTCTAGATAGCAGAGGATGCCCCCTTGTGGCTATTCCAGGTGAAACATCGGTGCTCTTTAAAGAGAACTGATAGGATTGCCTTACTAGTCAGTCAGTCAGTTAAGCACTTACTAAGCTTCTACTCTGTGCTCTGGGGATACAAAGAAAGGCAAAAGACAGTCCCTGCCTTAAGTACAATTGAAGGGGGGCAAAAGCATACAAATAACTGTACAAACAAGAGATATAATGGGTAAAATGGAGTTAATTGATAGAGGGAAGGCACCAGAGAGGGATCAGGAAAGATTTCTTGTAGAAGGCAGGATTTTAAGTGGAACTTGAAGGAAGCCAGGAGATGGAGGTGAGGAGGGAGAGCATTCTAGGCATAGTAGACAGCCAGTGAAAATGCCCAGAGTTTGGAGATAGAGTGTGTCTTGTTTACTTAAGGAACAGAAAGGATGACAGTCACTGGGTAATAAGAAGACATGGGGGGTGGGGTGGGGGTAGTAATGTGTAATAAGGTTGAAGAGGTGAGAGAGGCAGGTATGGAGGGGCTTTGAATGACAACAGAGGATTATATATTTGATCTTGGAGGTGATGAGGAACCACTAGAGTTGTTTGAATGGTGGTCATGGTGTATTTATGTGTATGTATGACAGTCAGATCTGCACATTAGAAAGATTAGGTGGACAGCTGAGTAGAGGGGACTGGAGTGGGGAGAGACTTGAGGCAGGGAGACAAACCAGCAGGCTGTTGGCAATTATTCAGGTAGGAGATGATAAGGGTTTCCACTAGGATGGTGGTCGTGTCAGAGGGGAAAAGGAGTGTATAAGAGACATATTATAAAGGTAAAATCAATAAGACTTAACACACTGGATGGGGGCGCTGAGAGAGAGTGGGGAGTTGAGAATGATGCACCTAGTTTTGAGCCTTGGTGACTGGGAGGATGGTGGTGTTCTTGTCCATGATAGGGAAATTTGGAAGGCTTTGTGGGGACAGAGAATGGGTTCAGCTTTGGACATGTTGAGTTTAAGATGTATCTTATAGAACATTTAGTTTGAGATATCTAATAGATGAAAATGGAGATTAAGAGAGATCTAGAGATTAGGAGGGCTGGATAAATTATGTCTGAGAATCACCAGCATAAAGATGATAATTGAAATGTTTCATGGGAACTGATAAGAGATCACCAAGTGAAATAGTATAGAGGGGAGAAGAGAAGAGGTCCCAGGATAGACTCTTAGGTGGGCACCCACCTTCAGTGGGGAGTGGGTGAGAACCTAGACACAAGATCCAGCAAAGGAGACTTAAAGGGAGTAGTCAGACAGTCAGGAGGAGACCCATGTGCTTCATTGTCTTTCTTTTTACCCATCATGTTCATGACTCATCATGCCCGTGACTCAAGTGTCATGGAAACCTAGAGAGAAGAGGGTATCAAGGAGAAGATAGATGATCAACAGTGTCAAAGGATGCAGAGAAGTTAAGAGGGATAAGGTTTGAAAAAAAGACCATTAGATTTGGCGATTAAGAGATCATTGATAACTTTGGAGAGGGCAATTTTGGTTGAATGATGAGACTGTAGAGACCTAAAAAGAGAATGAGAAGAAAGTAAATTAAGGCATTGATTATAAATGGCCTTCTCAAGGAATTCAGTCATGAAAGGGAGAAAAGATATTGAATGATAACTGGTGGGTATCTAAAATATGACTCCTATTAACCTCATTATCCAACTGCTTTTAAATGGATCATAGATAGATACTATTAGAGCTGGAAGGGGATTTCTGAGGTCTTAAGAACCCTTAGAAAGTACCTAGTCCCATTCCATCTCCTTGTACCACAAGCTTTCCCCCTGCCTCCTACTCTGAGGTTCTGAACCAAAGGTAGGTGACCTTGTCTCTACAAGTATAGAGTGTAGAGAAAGGAAGTGATGTGAGAGATGAGGCAGAGGCATAATTGATGAGACTTGGCAACTGATTGGCCCTAGGAGGTGAGGGAGAAGTAAGAGCTGAGGTTATGAACAGCTGAAGAGGGCTATGAGGTTCTGAGCCTAGGCTATTGGAAGATTAGGGAGCACTGCCTTCAACAACATTGACGACTGTTTGACATGAGCTCCTAGATCACCGAAGTAGTTCATGCGCAATGCGAGGGACCATTTGTCAGAGTTGTCTTAGTAAGGATTCAGATACTGATAAGTTGTCCCCTACCCTCCTTAAAGCCTTGGAGTTTCTAGGATTCTGTGACCTTTTGTAATCCCAACTGCTGTTCCAGGTCAAGGCATTGCATGGACTTCTATCTTTTGCCATGTCAAGTAGGGACTGAATGAATGTCAACTATTAATGTTTAAACCACGACTTAAGTGCACCAGGGAACAGAGAATTATTACAGATTGTTGCCTAAGTTGTCCATATTTCTCTTCTGCTCAAACTCATCTTTGCCCAAAATTCAAAGCCCTCCACTACTTGTGCCTGTATCTCCTTTCTTTTTAGTCTCCTCTCATGCTATTCTCCACCTATTCTGAGCTGTATCCAGCCTGAACTCTTTATCCCCTACAAACATCCTTTGCTTTCCTTTTTCTACCCTTTTCTTTCTGATTCCTTATATCTGTGATCTTCCCTTCCTTTCTCCTTTTTCCTTCCCACTCCCTCCCTCCTTCCCTCCTTCCTTCCCTCCTTTCCTTCCTTCCTCTATCCCTCCTTTTCTTCCTTCTTTCTTCCCTCCCTCCCTCCTTTCCTTCCTTTTTTCCTCTCTCCATCCCTCCTTTCCTTCCTTCACCCCTCTCTCCTTTCCCTCCTTCCTTCCTTCCTTCCTTCCTTTCTTCCTTCCTTCCTTCTTTTCCTGTGGGGAATTCCTGAAGTGGAAACTCTCTCTTTCTGTTCAGAGGAACTTGCTCTTCCAGTCTTAGAGACTGGGGCATCGAGATTTAAGTGACTTGTGTAGGGTTCCACAGCCAGTATTGTGCCAGAGATGGGACTTGAACCTAGATGGGTCTTCCTGACTCTGAGACTGGCTGTCTATCCCCTGAGTCAGGCTGCCTTTCATTGAATTCTGAATTCACCATTTAAAATCTTAGCTCACATGACAACTCCTCCAGGAAGCCCAAGAGCCTGATTAGTCCATGGGATGGTAATGGGTCAGTTTGCTGGAGTCTTGCTGGGTGGGGCCAAGGATGAGCAAGGACAGAGCTCAGTCCCTTACTATCCTTGTAGGCAGAGATGGAGCTGCTGCGGCACATTGGGGTCCCTGCCCACAAGATCATCTATACCAGCCCATGCAAGCAGGCTGCCCAGGTGAAGCAGGCTGCCAAGCTTGGCATTAGAGTGCTCAGCTTTGACAACGAGGTGGAGCTGGCGAAGGTGGCGAGGTCCCACCCCACTGCCAGGTAGGCTGATTGGAAAGAAAACGTTCCCAAAGAGCCATCCAAAGAGGCTGGGCTCCCTTGGGAGGAGGGAGTATTGAAAAACCTTCAGTACCAAAAATCTTCAAGAGAAGGCTGACCATTCATGATGAGAGTTCAGAGTATTACAGGCACAGAAATTCAGAATTGCTATGCACATCAGTGGCTATTTCCCCAAATCACATATTTAGAATTGAAAGGGCCCTTTGTAAAAGTCACCTAATCTAGCTCCCCCGACCTTATCAAGATGAAGCAACTGATGTCTCAGAGAGGTTACTCTACTTGTCCAAAGTCACACAAAGAGGAACTTGCAGGGCTGGGGTTTGAACCCAGTCCTCAGACCAAACTTGGAGAATTCTACCATAACACAGGCAGTTGTAGAGATGTATGAGTGTGGGTCTGCATATGTGGGATTCTTGTCCAGATGCAGCTTAACTAGATGACCTCTGGGGTCCCTTCTGGCTTCCAAAGTTTTGGGGTTCTGAAGTCTGGCTCTGCACCTAGTAGCTTTGTGTGACCTTGGTGTAGTAATTTCCCCTGTCTGGGTCTCGGTTCCCTCAGGTAGAAAATGAAGGTGTTGAATTGTCTTTAATGTAATTAGTAAGCCTTCATGATTCTCTCTTTATATATAGATGATGAGTTTTATTAAGAGGCAGTATAGGTAGAGCGCTGGACTTGGAGCCAGGTGACTGGTTTGTATGATCCTGGGCAAACTACTTAAATTCTGTGGGGTCTCACTTTCCTCATCCATAGCCCTTGCCCCCCAGGGTGGTTGTGAGCATAAAATGAAATAATATTTATAAATTATGATGTATAGTATACAAGTATATATTACATTAAAGATAATATTATAGGGATATATTATATATAAGTGTATTATATATCATATACTAACATATATTATATAAAATTACATTATAAATTCTTACCTGTGAAATGAAGGGTTTGGGCTAGATTGCCCCTAAGGAGCCATTCTAGTTTTGCATTAGTCATCCTTTGATTCTAAATCATTTAACTTTCCAGACTCTCAATTTCTTTCTCTATTAAAGGGGATAATAACACTTCCATAGCACTTACCTTTGGAGAAAGGGGTGTGCTGGTAAATGTTTAACAATAGACTCTTTGGGGAAAAACTGTATCTATGCCACATTTTCAAGCATTATTAACATCTTCTCCATCACTTTTGAAAGGTCTAGAAATCAACAAAACAACAAACCGTGCACCCTGATTTGTAGTATTTGCTGGTGACAAATGATCCCTCTGAACATTTAACATTTAACAACCGGCCTTCTCAAGCTGGGCAGGACAGGTTGCAAGACACTGCAGGTTGAAAACCTTTATGTGCGATAGAAATGCAAGCTGTTGTTAGTGGCAGGTTGAGGGCAAGGATGGGGGCTGTGGGCGGCTCTGTTGAATCTGACTTGGTATAGTCCCTCAGCTTTAGAGATAGCATAGATTTTGAATTCAGATTTGAACTTGGGTCAATCAGAGGACCGGATTTCCAGAGCAGGAAGGGGATCTGCAGGCCGTCTCATCTTACAGGTGAGGATCAGATGCCCATAGATGTGACTTACCATAGAGGTGATTTACCTGAGGCCGCATAGGTTACAGTGAGTGGTGATACATTGGCTGCTGATTCCAATGTTGCCCATTTTACAGATCTGACTCCAGATCCCGGTACAATTTTCCCTGCATTAACTCTGGACCCTACAGATTCATGAGGCCCTCAGCTAATGTTCCTTAAAGGCAATATATGTCTACGTGAACAATGTGAACAATAAATGCTGGTTTTCTCCTATGTACTCAATCTAGAATAGAGGGTTTGTTTTGAGGCTAGAAACTTGGGGCCAGATGATGGAGGGCCTGAGAATGCCAGAGTGTGGAGTGGTTTTGAATGGGGAGCAATGGGGAGCTACTGGAGGTTTTTGAGCATGAGAAGGATGAGATGAAGATAGTCAAGGAAGAAAGAAAATGCTTATTACTTGTCTGCAGTGGTCACTGTGTGGGACATGTCCCTGTCATTAGTAGGAGGGTGTCTGGGTCATGTGGTACCATTCACACACTCTAGTCCAACCTACCTGGGGCTATCTGGCCAGGGTGGCCTTCATGTCTTTGGCACAATTCCCCGTCTATGATCTGATGGTAGCATCGGTTATCGAGAGAGAGGGTAGGAAGAGAAGAAAAACGGAAGGGAGAGGTGGGTGCAGAAAGAGAGATGACTAAAAGCTAGGGGATGGAGGCCCGTGGTAGGAAAGTGGGAGACAATTAACCCAGGCTGAGCTGTGGCTTTGACCCCTCAGACTAGGGGCCTGGGGGGTATATGCCCACCCCGGCTCACCTCCTGGTGATACTTGGTGGTTGAATGGTTCTAAGCCAGGTGGGCCTGCAGCCTGTTGGCCCAGGAAAGGTGCCCTGGAGAGCAGCTAGAGGAGGACCCTGTGGAAGGGGGGTGGATCTCCACCCAGCGGGGAGGGCGGGGTGTGCGTGTCTCCCCACAGGATGGTTTTACGCATTGCCACAGATGACTCCTGTTCTCCTGCCTGCCTGAGCATGAAACTCGGTGCTACTCCCAAGTCCTGTAGACACCTGCTAGAAACTGCCAAGAAGATGAACATGGAAGTGGTGGGTGTTAGGTGAGTGACTGGCTCCTGGAGGTTTCTAGAATCTTGCCACTGGGTGGATGGGAACCTGTCAAACTGGCTTCCTATGGTGGGTTTGCTCTGTCCTGGCTGTGTAACCTTGGGCAAATCAACTCCCCACCCAAGACCTTATTTTCCTCATCTGCAAAATGGAGATGTTAATATCTGCCCTGCCTAGGTCACAGAAATGTTGTGAAGATAGGATGAGAATAATGGAATGGAGAGTACTCTGGAAATTGTGAAGTGGGTTCTTAGGCAAAACTAAATCACCTAGCAATCAGTTTCCAGCTGATTAACCCCTCTGCCATGATTGAGGAGGGTTTCTCTTATAATTGTTCATTAGTGTTATTAGGAGGAATCTGGGGACCACTCTGGATGGAGGCATCCCAGAAGGCCTTGCAAGGATCACTAACTTGGTGACCTGTGGAGCCAGCTGACCTTTTCAGGGGTGGGATTGGGAAAAGGCGTGGGAGAGATTACAGAACCCTCCGCCTAGACTTCATAATGCTAGTGATGCTGCCATGATCTCGTGCTTAGTAGCTGTATGTCATCACGTCCCTGGACCTCCACCCCCTCATCAGTAGGCCGAGGGAGCTGAAGGAGGTGGCCTCAAAGCGCCCTTGTAGTTTTAATATTCTATGTGTCAGACCTCTGCCCCCTTAAAAAAAACCCCACCACCAATACATTTTTTATTGATATTTTTGTTTTTACATTGCCTACATTTCCCCTTGTAACCCACTTTTTCCTTCCCAGAGTATAATCCGTGATGTCAAATAAATGGTGACCCCTTTTCTTACTTTCTTGCTTTATGATCCTTGGCAAGGTCCTTTATCTCTCTGGGGTTTAGTTGCCACCTCTGTAGAATGGGTACATTGTTCTTTTTAACTCCAAGACCTACAACTCTGTGGCTGGTAGGGTTGGGGGGAGACTGCTTTCCCACCTCCTCCTCCTCTTCCCTCCCGCTCACCCTTCCCCTCTCTCCCTCCTTCCCCTCTTCTTTGTTCCCCTTTCCTCTTTCTCACCCTCCAAGTCCCTCGCTTCCCTTTCTCCCTCTCTTCTCTCTCCTCCTTCTTCTCCTCCCTCTCCTTCTCCTGTTCTCTCCCTCCCTTTCTGCCCCTCCCCTTTCTCCCTCCCCCTCCTTTCCTCGCCCCCAGTAAGTTCATCTGCTTAGAGCAGGATTCTTTCTCTTTAGTTTCCATGTTGGAAGTGGTTGCTCCTCCGACCTTCAGGCTCTTACTCAATCCATCGCAGATGCTCGCCTGGTGTTTGAAATGGGGACTGAGCTGGGCTACCGGATGCACATCCTGGATCTTGGAGGTGGCTTTCCTGGCACTGAGGACTCCAAAGTCAGGTTTGAAGAGGTAAAAGCCCAGTGATCTGTGGGCCCCCTCCTGCCCTCTCAGAGGGGCAGTGCACAGAGGCTGTGGGAATAAAATCCACCAAGAAGCCCCAGGTTCCACCTTACTCCAGCCAGCCCAGCCATCATTTCAATTCAGTAAACATCTAGGATGACAGATTCAGAGTTGTGACCCCAGTCATGTAGTTCCATGATCCCATTTTGCAACACGGTGCTGGGCACTGTGCATACAAAGACAAAGGAAACTAGCGTCAGGGAGTTTGCATTCTACTGGGGCTAGGGGAGGGACACAACTCGGACACCACCTTCTTTCTTGTTCTCTTCTGCTCTCTGCTCCTGCCTTCCTCCTTCCCCTCCCCCCCAAATTACCTTGTATCTACTTTTGTTTACCTCTCCCCATAGAATATAAGCTCCTTGAGGGCAGGGACTGTTTTCATTTTTCCTTTATATTCCCAGAGCCTGGCACGTAGTGGACATGTAATAAATACTTGATAACTGATTGATTAAACATAGGCAGAAAGTAATTTTAAGAGTTTGAAAGCACAGCTTGGGGGCAGGGGCGGGCATCAGGAAAGGCCCTGGATGTGGTGATGTCCCAGGGAACAAGGTGGCCGCTTCCCTACTGCTGGAGTTGGGGAAGGCAGAGGAATAGGAGGAAGATAGATTAAGAGGCCTAGATATGTTTATATCATAGTTTTCCTTCCCCTTCCTGGTCCCCCAGTTTGGACAGAGCCCTGGACTTGTCGTCCAGAGAGCTGGATTTCAAAACTGGCTCTGCCACTTGGCAGGCTATGCGACCATTGACAAGTCACTTAATCTCTTTGAGCCTCAGTTTCCCCCCTTGTAAAACAGACAGGCTAATACTTGCCTATCCTGCCTGCCTCACAGGCCTCTTGCTAAGGATCAGAAGAGGTAAGGTATGTGAAAGAACTCTGTCGACAGAGATCAACCACAGTAACAATAACAATGATATTGGTAATAATAATGCTTTGGCATTTCAGAGAACTGTGATTTCCTTCACTTCTATGGATAGCAGCTCCTCTCTGCCTTAGTACGTGACCTTTATGAATGGCTGTGACCCACAGTGACTATCCCTCTGTTGGTGAATTTCTCTGCACTTAGTTGGATCGATCCTTTGGACTCCAGGCATGTCACTGGCCCAAACTTATGGAACAATTAGAGCTTGTTTCCTGCTGCTCCAGCCTTTGGGAACCCAGGGGCCTCATCCAAGCCCTGATGGGGCCCTTTAGTGTTGGAATAAGAATGAGATCAACAATCAGAGAATTTTAAGCTAGAAGGGAACTCAAGAGATCATCTGTTCAGATCATCTTACAGATGAGGAAACTGAGGCCAGAAAAAGGGGAAGGAATTTGCCCCGAAGGTCCCAATATAGTAAGGTAGAGAGCTGGGTCTTAAACTTAGGTCCATGGACTCCAAATCCAGGGCTCTTTCCAGTCTACAACAAAGAAGAAAGAGCAACAGTGGGCATTCATGACTAAATACTATGAACACTCTTGGGAGGAGACGATAGAATTGGACCTATGACCTGATTGGCATAGGGAATTCCCTATGAGGAAACTAGCCTCACTAATGCAGACTGACCATCTTCTCTGCAAATCAGACTCTTAGAATTTTGCCTGGGGCCCTTTGAGCTGAAGTTACTTGCCCAGGTCTTGAATAATGATGATAGTATTTTTTCCTCAATCACCACCCCCTACTATTTCTCTTTGGATTTTGAGGAGGCAGCTGAATCACCAATGCTGGTCATTTCTTTAACCAGCTAGGCGGAGCAGTGGATAAAGTGGAAGACTCGTCTTCCTGAGTTCAAATCCAGGCTTTCTTACTAGCTGTGTGACCCTGGGCAAGTCACTTCACCCTGTGTGCCTCAGTTTCCTCATCTGTTAAATGAGCTGGAGAAGGAAATGGCAAACCTCTCCAGTATCTTTACCAAGAAAACCCCAATTGGGGTCATAAAGAAGTCATGACCAGTCAAGAAGTCAAGAAATGACTGAACAACAACAAATTTAATTCAACATTTGTCAAGTACTTACTGGGTGCTTCTGAACACTGTACTTGTAAGTGGTGGAGATACTCCATGGTCCCTTTTCTAAAGGAGCTCACAGCCTAGGAAAAACAGCATATGTTGTCTCTGACTGGCATCCAAAGAGTTAAAAGATGCTGTTTTTCCATTCACTATAATGGGGGCGAAGTAAAGCCAGCCCGACACTTTGGCCTCTACTCAGATGATTGGTTCCCCTTCCTTGTCTCTGTTTCTTTGATGCCTTTGCTGGAGTGGGGCTGCAGGAGGATGGAGTCCCCCTCTGTCTTCTTGATCCTTGGAGAAGCTATCCCACTAGTAGCGGGACTTGGAAATGTAGCAGCTGCCTGTTCCTTCTTTCCTCTGAAATCTAGTGGCTACAGGGGTGCCACTTGAAAAGGAATACTTCAGGGGTACCTAGGTGGCACAGTGTATAGAGTACTAGCTCTGGAGTTGGGAGGACCTGAGTTTGAATATGGCCTCAGACATTTACTAGTTGTGTGACCCTGGACAAGTCACTTAACCCCAATTACCTCCAAAAACAAATTAAAAAAGAAAAAGAAAAGAAATACTTCAATGAGTCCCTAATCCTTTCAGTTTGGATATTCCCCCATCACAATGCTTCCCATGCCCTCTCGTCCTACGTATAAATTGTCCCTTTTGAGACAAAGTGGTATATTGGCACAAACCCTGAATTTTGCAGTCAGAAGATCTGGACCTGAATCTTAGCTCTGTTACTTGCTACCTAGGAGAATTTGATTGAGCAAATCACAGGCTTCTGTTGACCTAGTGCTGGCAGGAATGCTAGAGATTGACTCCTTCCAACCCCTTCATTTTTTACATAAGGAAACTCTGAGGCTCTAAGAGACTTGCCCAATGCCACACAGATTTGGAGCTAGGCCTTCTGACTACAAATCCAGCTCTTTCCACTGGTGCCACATTGCCTCTCTAGCCAGTAACCTCTCTGGATTTTAGTTTCCTCATCGGTAAATGAAGGGGTTGGTGTCAGGGGTCTCTAAGGCCCTCTTCATTTTTAAGTTGAGAAATGAGTTGAGAACTGCCTAGACTTTTTCCTGGTGAAGGAGTGGTATTGGAGGTAGAGGGCCCTATTAGAGTGACTCGGTGCGGTCCTATCCTCTTCAAATTAACATTTTTATCAACTTGGTTGATGGGCATAGCTGGCCCATCAGACTTTCAGGTTATGCAAAACTGGCGGGGGGGATAATGAACACTCTGGATAACATAATTGGGACTCCAAAATATCTATGCCCAGAGTCAAGTAATCAAACAAGTATAGGATGGAGAGACTTGGTCTAGACTGAATTGAGTGTGAAAAAAATTTAGTGATCTCATATGCCCAGTGTGGGTCAATATGGCGGCCAAGACAGCTACCAGAGGCATATTATCTAGAACAAGGGAGATCCTGCTGTACTTCGGTCTAGTTAGATCTCATCTGGAACACCATATTTTAGAAAAGATATAGATAATCTGGAGTTCATTCAGAGGAGGCTTAATATCAGGAACGATTTCCTAACAATTGTTATTGTTCAGTTGTTTCAGTCCTGTCTGACTCTTTGTGACCCTATTTCGGGTTTTCTTGGTAAAGATGCTGGAGTGGTTGGCCATTTCCTTCCCCAGCTCATTTTACAGTTGAGGAAACTGAGACGAACAGGTTAAAGTAACTTGCCCCAGGGTCACAGAGCTAGTAAGTGTCTGAGGCAGGATTTAAACTCAGGTCTTCGCCCAGCTCTCTATTTACTTTGCCACCTCGCTGCCCCTTCCTAACAACCAGAGCTGTCCAAAAGTGGAATGAGCTGCCATGGGAGGTAATGGGCTCTCTCTTAGACCCAGGGCAACAAGGGGCCTGGACACCAATGCCATATGAGTACTTGTTGAGGGAACTGGATGAGGTTTAGCCTGGAGAAGAAAAGACTGAGGGGAGATACGATCGATGTCTTTAAGTATTTGAAGAAGTTTTCAGGTATTTTGTCGTAGAGAGGAGTGATTGATTAGATTCTGGAAAATCACAGGATTTTGACTTGGAGAAGATCTCAGGGATGTCTCAGTCCAACTCGTAGCTGAAAGGAGTTTTCACTATCACATGCATACCTGACCCACGGTCAGCCCCTTCAGCCTCTTTGCTCATAGACTTCCAAAGAAAGGGAACCCATCATTTCCCAAGGCAGCTCGTTCCTCTTGGGGATGGCTTTAATTGTTAGGATTTTTTTCCTGATGTCAAGCCTAAATTTGCTTCTTTGCAATTTCTGCTAATATTGGGGGCCAAAGTGGACAGGTTTGATGCCTTTTTTGCAAATTCTACTGGGCCCCACTTCACAGAATTATCAGCCATCGGTAGGGGAGAGGGAGTTTCGAAGGATCCCTGTTCTGGTAGAAGTTGGATTAAGTAATCGCTGAGCTCTCTTCCAACTCTAGAAGTAGAATTTTATTTCTGGATGGAATGATTTCTGAGCTGGGATTTTCCTTCTGAAGGGATCTAATGGCTCATTCGCCATTTTCCTTCTCTTCCTTTCCTGACTCCAGATGGCTTCTGTGATCAACTCAGCCTTGGACATGTACTTTCCTGAGGGCTGTGGAGTGGACATTCTGGCTGAGCCTGGACGTTATTACGTGGCCTCTGCTTTTACCTTGGCCATCAGGATTGTTGGCAAGAAGGAAGTTCCATCAGATCAGGCTGGCTTGGATGGTAAGTGGGGGGGGGCTTAGTGATGGGGAGATAGCCAAGGAAGCTTGGTGCCACTTGGGAGGTTCCTCTCAGGCTAGTTGGGCTTGTGTGCAGGCATGATTTCAGAGTGTGAACAGAATACATGAACCACATGCAAAGGGATATGAGATGACAACAGTGTTTGAAACTGGCCAGGATTAATTTGGGAAGGCTGTCTGGAGGAGGTAACTGTTGGGTAGACTTTAGGAGGATTTGTGGGAACCCAGCATGGCAAAGATGGGAAGAAACATTCTGACCATGGGAAGCTAGACAGGGTAGAGGAAGTGGGAGACCCTTCCTACTTCTGCTGTTTCAGGATTTTAACCCTCTTCTTCCCCCCACCTCCCAAGCATATTGTGAATGTCAAGATAATTGACATCAAAGGGCATTTGAATATACAGAGCATATGCCTGGGATGGAAAAGGATGTGCTTTCCTCTTTGCCTACCCTCAACCCATAGTGTCACAGGATTTAAAGCTAAAAATATTATGGGATCATAGATTTAGACCTGAAAGGAATCTCAGAGAGCATCTAGTCCAACAGTTTTCGTTTTACGAAAGAGGAAACTAAGTCCCCAAGAGGTTGAAGTCATTTGCCCAGAGTCACAGAGGTAAAAAGCAGAGCTGGTATTCAAACCCAGATTCTTTGACTCCAAATCTAATATTTTTTCCACTGCTCTATGATACTTCCGTAATCTCTCAGGAAAAGGACCTTAGAGATCATCTAGTTCTATTCCAGCCTCTCCATTTTACAGATGAGGAAACTGAGGCCCAGGGACATAAAACAATTTGCCCAATGTGACTCAGGTAGTGCACTGACTTTTCTCCTATGCCATGCTGCCTCTCCCTTTGAGGGTGACTAGCAACAGCCTGGCCTCTTGGGGAGAGGGGGACCTGGTCAGCCTATAGGGACAGTCTACTGGGAGGGGAATCCATCATTGCCCTAACTCCAGGAAGGCTCAGGGAATTTCCCTGGCCAGGGTTCTGACTGCTCTCCCTGACCCTCTGCCCTTCCCCTTCACAGAGGAAGACGGGGACTCTCCCAAGAGTATCGTGTACCATATTTCTGAGGGTGTCTATGGAGCCTTCAACTGTGTCTTCTTTGACAACGCTTGTCCCATGCCCATCTTGCAGAAGGTAAATGGAATAGGCTGGGAGGCTATTTTTTCCATTAAAAAAAGTTAACTTCAAAAAATCTTTTTCATGTAGGCAGAAATAATAAGAAAACAAAATATTCCAGCCAGATTCCTTGATAGGGATGATGCCATGGTACATCTAACCACTGAGGTCCTTAGGAAGAGTCCCCCTATCTCTGTTTATTTCATAGCAGAGCCTTTTGGGAAGGGCTAGGGGTATGTATGCAAGATAAACTTTAGAGGCAGCATATATACTGGAAACATGGTTGGAACTGGAGTCAGGAGACCTGGGGAAGAGTCTTGGCACTAACACTGGCTAGCTGTGTGACTTTGGGCAAATCACCCAAGCTCTGAGCCTCAGTTTCCTCATGTGTAAAATGCAAATAATGATGCCTGGACTACCTCCCTCTCAGGGTTGAAAAAAGTACCTCATAAATCACAGTTTTAGAGGCAAAGGATGCTCAGGACTGGAAAAGACTTTGGAGATCATCTTTAATCCCTTTAATCCACTTCTCCTCCCCCCCACACCAGGTCACAGGGCCATAGGATTTTAGATTTGGGGCTGGAAGGGACCTCGGAGGGTACCTAGTCTAACCCTTCCTTTTATAGATGAGGAAACTGAGGCCCACCCAGAGAAGCATAGTGCCTTGCCCAAGGTCACAGAGAGAGTCAGTGAGAGAGCCGGGATTCAAACCCAGGTCTCCTCAGTCCAAGTCCATTGTTTCTTCTTATTTCAATTCACTCCCTTAAAGTGCTGTAGAAACATGACCTATTGATTCCTGCTTCAATGAATGAATAAATCATGAATTAAGCACTTACTATGTGCAAAGCACTACTTTAAGCTCTGAAAAATCAGATAGTCTCTACTCTCTAGGAGCTCATGTTCTAATGGGGGAGATATTGCATAGGGAAGGTTTTAGCTGCAAGTCAGATGGGAAGGTCCCCTGGTTCTTAGTGGTTGGACATTAATTAGATATTTATGCCTCTCCCTGAATGTCATTTCTACTGATAAAATCTTATCAGTTTCTGATGGTGAGCCGTTGGGCAGCACCAAGGACTGTAAGAGTCAGGATTTGAACCCAAGTCTTCTTACTACAAGCCTGGTACTCTTTACAGTACACCAAGCTGTCTCTTCTTAATAGTGAGTGTAGAGCAGGAATGTTCCTTTCCTTGGGTTCATTTGCTTTCAACGCGCTCCAAAGGCAGGCAAAGCGTATTATATTCTCCAAAGACCGACTAGCCATAGTGCAATCCCTGCACAAGCCACCAGGTGGCACTCCAAGCCACTAATTACCAGCCCAAGCACCTTGGTGCAGGTGTCTACAGGATCTTGTCTAGGTCCTGTGTCCCTTTCTTGTTTGCCCTTCTTTCATGAGGAGGACCAATGGTCCATCACGAGGGTGATGTCTTGACTTGGGCGTGAAGTGGATTTGACTGAGGCAGAGCTGTGCAAAGTCCTCAGCCTCACATCCTTCTCCAGAGTCATTCTGAGTCCCTCTGCACATATGCAGACCACCTTGGGCCAGGTTCAGTCTCATCTGGTTCAGGATATGAAATAATCCAGCAATGACTTGTGATTGGCTTATGTTCCCATTGCCATTAAGATTCTAGTCTCCTTCCCAACTCTGTGGGGCTTGAAAGAATTACTCACTCACATATGGTTTAGAGAGGATACAAGGACTAAAGCAGACATTTGAAATGAACAACATTGGCTTTAAAATTCCTGAGTTTCTTGGCAGCCTGTCCTCAACTCCCCATCCACTCAGAGGTCAAAGGGAGAAGGGGTGGAATAATTGGTTCACCAGATGCAATGTGTCTTACTATGACCGGCACACATTCTGACTCCTGGAGAGCTAACAGTCGCCTCCTGGATGGTCCCCAGACAAAACTTGGAGGGAGGCCAGTGATTTAGCAGAATTAGAGGTCATTCATTGGAGGTTCATTGTTCAGGAATAGCCATCACTTGGGCCTGGGGGGCTCCTAATAAGTGGACTGAGTAACCATCTGGTGAATTCACGCTGTGAGCTTCACTGCCTCTGCGCTGCTTTCTCTGAAGGTGTTTGGCACATTTCCTTTAAAGCAGGTGACTCTTCATTAAATGTCCCCACTTTGGGGAGACAGAGAGTGATTGACTCTTTTTACATAAAAACTCTCCAGTCAATTCAACTTCCCGTTACCCATTCCTTTGGGGCTTTCAGGGTTGGGATGATGAGGTGGGAAATAAAAAAAAAAATCAACTACTGTTCAAACCGATCACAAACAATCCAATAATAATAATAAATAACAATATGATTACAATGACTATCTATTACAGTAAACAAAATATTAATAATTATAACAATAATTAATAATACTTATAACTGACATTTAAAAAGCAGTTTTGCAAAGTGCTTTATGACACTGGCTCATTTGATTCTAAAAACACTCCTATGAGATAGGATATAACCTTACTATTTTCCTCATTTTACAGAAGAGGGTTAAGTGACGTGCTTATGGCTATCTAGTTAATGAGTGTGAAAATGGAATGTGAACTCTGCCTTCTTCTGACTCCAGGTCCAGAACTTTCTTTGCTACACTGTGCTAACCCTCTAGAGTCACATGTTGGCTCAGTAGCAGTAAGAGTTAATAACCAGAGCTGTGCACAGGTGGGATGGATGACCTTGGGAGGTATTGCGCTTCCTGTCATGGAAGTGTTAAAGCAGAAACTGGATGATCACTTGACCCAGTTGTCTGGGAGGAGGTTCCTGCATTGTGAGGAAAGAGAGATGCAAATTAGACTTACCTCACCTGAAGTAATTTTGCTTTTTAAATATTAGCTGATTATCCAAACCAAGATTTCTTATCTAAAATTCCTTAAAGGCTCAGCTAAATGTCAACATTTAAAAGTGTTTCGTGCTCCTGATAATACTGTTGAAGCTTAGATAGAATTAGCTGCCAGAGCAACTATCTCCAATCTGGCTTCCCTGAGTGACTCTTAACTAGATGATGTCTGATCCTCAGCTACTCGGGACTATTCCATCAAAGGACTGCTAGGACTCTGAGCTAGAAGGGGGAGCTCAGGGGCAATCTAGCCCAACACCTTCATTTGACAGGTGAAGAAACTGAGGCCCAGAGGTGGGAAGGGGCCTGATAAGGTCATTGATCTAGAAGCTGAAGGGCTATTAGAGGTCATTTTATCTAACTTCATTTTACAAACAAGGAGATTGAACCCTAAAAGGGTTATGTGACTCGTCCAAGGTCCCATAGTTAGTAAATAGTAGAGCCAGCATTTGAACCCAGGTCTCCTGATTCCAAATCCAGTGGTCTTTCTGCTTTAATTATGATTTGTCAGAAATTGTGGTATTCATGCGTGACTCATACAGCATCACCCAAAGTATATTAATATGAGCTAGCATTTATGTAGTGCTTTAAATTTTGAAAAGCACTTTACAAATGTTATCTCATTTTATTTTTGTAACAACCCTGGCAGGATAGATATTATCATTATCTCCATCTTTACGGTTGAGGAAACTGAGGCAGACAGAGGTTGGGGACTTGTCTAGAGTCATGCAGTATTAAGTGTCTGAGGCAGGATTTGAACTTGGGTCTCTCTGACTCCAGGTCCATTGCTGCATCCACAGTGCCATCCACTGCTTCTATTATTAGAGTTAAATATTAGGGTTAAAAAGATTGGAATTATCAGAGGTGTGATATCATTTCTCAAGTACAGTACAACTCATGTTGTCATCCTTGACCTCACTTATTGGGCATCTTTGGTGCCTGACCACAGTATACGTACTGATGGATTAACTCAATGGGCTGCATGTGCCAGTCTAGACAATAGTGGTTGTGGATCTCATTAAAGAAGTACCATGGAGATGTTCTGGGGCTTGATGCAATCAGCATGAGGTCATCCATAAATGGGAACATCTTAAAGGAATTCACTATCTATAGGAAATCTGTCTTCCATTTGGCCTCCTTCCAAAAGAGGTGAGCACTTTCAGCCAACATGTATCTTCCTCTTTTAAGCTCTACTCGATATCTGTGATAGAGATGGTGATCACAGCTGTAGCCAGGGGTGTGCTGAACACAACTGGACCCACGTGATTCTAGAAAGTTGATTGTTAAATTTTCAGTGTGAGCATTTACATCTTGGAAACTGGAGAATCCTACAAATCAGGGCTCGATTTATTGTTTTGTTGGTTGTCTAAACTTCGGAAAGTGTTAATAATGCAGATTAAACTTAAAAATATGTCCTTTGTACTTTTTTCTTCTTTTGGAGATCCTGCTGTTAAATATTTACACTTGCTTGTAGCTCTCAAGCTCTCTGAGCTTGCTGCCCCCTGTTTCTGAACTCTAGCCTCAGTCTCTGGGGACTGCAGGCATGTGTCACCACATCTGGATCCATTTCCTCTGTTCAAAAAGCCAGTTTTATGTTCCTGTCTCTTGGCTCTTCCTCCTCAAACCCAGAAAAGAGTGGATGGGCTTTTTCCTAGGGCATTGGTCCACTTTGCCATTTCCAGAGGTTCCTCGAGACATGTGTTAGAGACCAACCTGCCTGGGTTGTTGTGAGAACCAAAGGAGATAGTAGGGTGCTTTGCAAACCTTAAAGGGCTATATAAGTGTGAGCTATTATTATTCTTTGCTACTACAAAAAGCGCATATATGAAATGGGAACTCACTTTGACCACCCTCTGAGTAAAATACTTTAAAAAATAATTATACACTAAATACAATGTGATCTTTTGCTTGGTATGCAGTTGTGGGTTATGCTGGGGAGGACCTTTTGTGATGCTTGTTTGTACCTTGAGAGCCCTCAGTGAATGTGCGTAGTTTTTTCTCATAATTGTTTCTCACCCCTGTATAATTGTGATGGGAATGAACTACACCGTTCATTCTGTGAAGCTGAATTGCACCCAACTGATTTAGACATAACTCCCACACTGCTAACTGATCCTCTCCCTCTCCCTCCCTCCCTCTCTCTCTCTCTCTCTCTCTCTCTCTCTCTCGCTCGCTCTCTCT